AGAATGAACTGGTTCGAAGCCCTGAAATTTCCTAACAATGCGATGCATGTGTGATTTCCTTCTATTGTAGTGAAGGCTAAGTAGCTCATTCTTTTTTCTTTTTTAAGGCATAGAAATTAAATCACTAGAATTAAGGGGGAAAAAAAAGATAGCATTTTGCACAAAATTTCAGCTCCACCCACCTCTATCTGCTCGGTGAACTGATGATCTTTTCAAACCCACCTCATACGGTGCTTCCTCAGGAAGCCTCCCTGCCCCTTCTGCCCCATTATAGAGTTAATTATTCCCTGGCTATCTTTGACATAAGGAGCCCTGGTGGTGCAGTGTGGTTAAGTGCTCGGCTGCTAACCAAAAGGTCAACGGTTTGAACCCACCATCCACCCCATGGGAGACCTGACGATTTACTCCCGTAAAAATTATAGCCTAGGAAACCCAATGTTCTGCTCTGTCCTGTAGAGTTGCTATGAGTTGGAATCGACTCGACGGCACACAGCAACCATCTTCGACATATATGTTCCGTTACGTTGCAGAGCAATTTGTTTGTTCATAGTTTAGCCCACCTAATGGACCATGGGGAGCAGTGGTGGTTCCGCGGTAGAATCTTCGCCTTTCATGTGGGAGACCCAGGTTCGATTCCTGGCCAATGACCTCATGTGCAGCCACCACCTGTCTGTCAGTGGAGGCTTTTGTGTTGCTAGGATGCTGAACAGGTTCCAGCGGAGCTTCCAGACTAAGATTAATTAGGAAGAAAAGCCTGGCAACAGTCTGATCCATAGCCAATCATGGGGACGGTGCAGGATTGGGCAGCGTTTGGTTCCATTGTGCACGGGGTAGCCGTGAGTTGGAGCTGACTCGAAGGCAGCTAACAATAACCCAGTGGACCAGGAGATTGCTGAGGCAGGGGCCAGGTGTTATCATTACTTGTCCCAGGACCAAGCACAGAGTGACACTCACATATTTGGTGAAAGAATGAAGGGCAGTTTGTTGAATTTCTCAAAACAGACATTTTAAAGAATGCTAGAAGATAAACCATGCTAATTTGGGGGAGGGGGGACAGGACATGGCACACATGCTTGCAAGTAACATATTGGTGAGTAGTTTAACCAAAAATCATCTATACCATGACAAAATCCGGAGAAAAGTGGGAAAAAACGGGGTCCGCTATAGCTGTGAAGTCAGAACACTTTCTTTTTGACAGTGTACAGGCAAAGGAGTTAGAAAATCAGATAAACTTCACTTTGCATCTAGGTATTTTGTCATCACTTAATGCAGTTTACCAACACTCACAGCCTGGACGCTTGTGCAAAGCATCATGCCAAGCGCTATGGCAATAAAAGGAAACCATCCAGTTCTGAGCTGCTGCTATTAAATCATTCTTACGTGAGCTGCCCCGGAGCAGTAGACTCACATCATTTTCTCTGATATTGGGGTGAAATCCCATTGCATAGCATTTCCCGTTAGCACCCTTGACTTGCACGCACTTGTCCAAGTCTTGCTCCACCATTGTTGCCGTCGTTGCTCACCCAGCATTTCACTCATGCCTCTCTGACAGTGATTGTCCCTTTATATTCTGGCTAGCCGGACCTGTCTCTGTCTTGGAATATCTGGGTTGGCAATCTAAGATCCGCAGGCCACATCCAGCCCAATGCCTGTTTCTGTAAAGACGGTTTTACTGGCGCACAGCCACACGCATCTGGTGGTTTCTGTGCTGCAACAGCAGAGGTGAGTAGTTGTGACCAAGACTGTGGCCCCTGGTATAAAATACTGAGAGATCCTTGAAGAAAAGGCCTATATTTTCTTCTTTTTGGTTTCAACCCGAACATCAGTACATATATTAATTCAGTCAACAAATGTTTGAGTCCTGCTGTTTAAGTCAATCAACAAATGTTTGAGTCCTACTGTGTGCTAAGCACAGTTCTAGGTACTGGGGATACACCCCTCCAAGGGTAAAGAAAAGTCTGCTCTCATAGAGCTTATATTCTATAGCAGAGAGCAAATAAAGGAACAGACAGGTCAGTGATGAACGCTATGGAGAAAATAAATCTGGATAGGGCAGTAGATTGCAGCCATGAGTGGTGGTCTATGGGAGCAGGGGTCTTGGGTTTATGTGGATTCACAGAGAAGGTGACCTTGGAACAGAGAATCATGTGTGTTAGGGGAATGGGCCGTGCTTGGCATGTTTGAGCAATCACGAGGATGCTTTTTGCCCAGAGCAGAACGAGGAAGGGGCAGCCTGGGAGGAAATGACGTCCCTGGCTGAGCTCCTGTTTTCTGGGCTGGTTGTACTCTGGCGAGTTTCTCCCTAGGTGCGATGGGAAGGCCCTGCAAGGCAGAGCAGAGGGAAGGCAGGCTCTGTCATCTTTTCTCAGGACCTCTGGATTCTTAGTGGAGGATAGACTAACGGGGGTTGGGTGGCAAGAGTGAGCGGAAGCCAGGAGACCGATGAGAAAGGTCTTGTGATAAGCCAGGTGAGAGGTGGTCTAACTTGGCTCATGATCATAGAGGTAGGGTGGCGAGAATGGTCAGACTTGGCCTTCTCAAACTAGCTCAGTGCCGGGCAGTGAGTAACCATCCCTTGAATGAGCGAATAAAATGTTGGATCTTGCACTGGGGATCAGACGGTTTGATCCATAGGGTTTTCACAGACTGAATTTTGGAAGTAGATTGCCAGGCCTCTCTTCCTAGTTTCTCTTAGTCTGGAAGCTCCACTTAATCCTGTTCAGCATCTTAGCAACACACAAGCCTCCACTAACAGACGGGTAGTGGCTGAGCAGAAGGTGCATTGGCCAGGAATTGAATTGAATTCAAGTCTCACTGGTGAAAGGCGAGAATTCTACCACTGAACCATCATTGCCCCTGATTATAAAGTCAAACCTTTCCATTTCTTCCCGGCCATCTACAGGAAGGGTTGGAAGGGACCAAGTGTGGACGTTCAGTTTCTTACAACAGCAGCCTTGGGGTTTACATCACAGGTTGTGGAAAGATGAACGAGCTTTTGTATTTCAAATCTCAGCTGCTCCTTCCTTCATTCTCATGTAGTAAATATTAGCAAATGGTTGAAGTTTTTTTTTTTTTTTTTTTTTTTTTAATGCCAGGCTTCTCTGAAGCCAGGAGCTCTTTAAATTTGAACAGACCCAGCACATACTTCATACTTAATGACTAGTTACCCTTCAGTTGGTAGCCAGATGAGCATCAGTTTAACGAAGCACCACGTGGTCTTTCGGAGGGAGGCTAGTTCAGAAAGGGTCAGGGTATTATAGAAATCACTAATTTTGCAAATAAATGGAAGTGTGAATACAAAAAGGCAGATTGTCGGAATCACTAAACATAGCTTTGGATGTGAAGCCATCTCATAAATCTGGCTGAGAAAACCCCCTGGCCAAGTGATTTGAGCTTGTGCCCACTGCGTGAACTGCCCTATTCTCCCACAGTCGGCAGCGGATGCCTCGAGTATTCCCGTCCCCGTTACCGCAGATCTCTGCTAATGGTTTTGAAAGAGAGAAGATTCAAAGAGGCTTGGTTCCCCAGCCTGCTAATGAGCATGAGACCTCTTCACCCCTAATGAACCTGGGATTGTGTGGGATTCTTGCCCCTGCCTGTTTGGAAGGGCAGGCACAAAAGCGTCCAGGTCTTTATGGTGCAGCTGGGCCACCCGGGGGCAGCTGAAGGGAAACAACAAAGCTGGCGGAGGTCGTGCTCGGGCTGCCACAGCTCTGGTGTCAGGCTAGGCCCCCTGCCACCCCGGTCTGTCACTGGCAACAGTGACAAACCCTTGACCAGAGTTTTAGGTCCTTGTAAGCCTCCTTGGGAGCCCTGGTGGTGCAGTGGTTAAGAGCTCGGCTGCTAACCAAAAGGTCGGCAGTTCAAATCCACCAGCCGCTCCTTGGAAACCCTGTGGGGCAGTTCTACTCTGTCCTGTAGGGTCGCTCTGAGTTGGCCACGGGTTTTGGTTGGATTGGAAGCCTCCTTGGGGTGATGTGGCTTGAGATGTACTTATCCCATAATTACTACAACCACTAAAATTCTTGTTCTAATTCCCCCTGTCATTCTAATTAATAAAGTCACCGGTACGCAGGCTCACCATAGCTACTAAAGAGACTCCCAGATACTTTTCTTTGCTTCTTCCTGCCCATTCCCATCCCGCTGCTGGATTAAACAATAGAATTATTCAGAGGAGTAACCAACACATGCCAAAAATATTGCCTCCACCGCAATCACCTTTGGGAAAGTCAGCGTTTTTTTTCTCAGCACTGTATGTGGGAAACGGACATCCCACATTTAAACATTATCATTTCCCCTGGAACCCGTGCCTTTCATTCCCTGTGCATTTCACGCCCGTTTATACGGTCACTGCCTTTCTACTGCTGTAAAGCCTGGTTTAGTACATGGCAGAGTGAAAAGTTCTTGAAACACACACATTAGTGGTGACGGTTTGCACATAATGAACGTAATCGATGTCGCTAAACTATACATGTAAAAATTATTGAATGGGCAAAAGTTTTGTTATATAGATATTTACCACAATAAAAAAATTGTATTTGTTATTTAAAAAATAACATTACTATCTATGTTCACACATTCGAACTTCTGAAAGAATCTATAGTTCATTGATGAATGTTTTTACATTTTCATTTTCACCTCGAAGTAAAACCTGGATGTGACACAGTAAGATGATTGTGATTGGATACGAATTATGGAAATTACAGTGTTGATAACGTGCCATTTGGGAGTAAGGCCTTTTAAAAAACACAATTGCAAAAAAAAAAAAATTACTGTTTTCAGCGGCTTGAACTTCGAGAAAATGTGAGCTGGTGTGCTAGCGTGGGGTGTTTTTTCTCTCCTTATGTTCCCAGTGAATAGAAAGAGAATTACTTGGAATGTACACCAGGCCCCCCCTCCCGTGACCTGGTGTTTGGAGTGATTCGCAGAGGCAGGCAAAGCTGACAGCCCCCCATGGCTGACCCCTGCATGCCTAATCAGATCTCCCGTTCTGTTTCCAGATAGCTGATCAGCTTCCTGGGATTTTGCTGATGACACAGGAGAGCTTTGCCTGAAGATGGAAACACTGGAGTCGGAACTGACCTGCCCTATTTGTCTGGAGCTCTTTGAGGACCCTCTCCTGCTGCCCTGCGCACACAGCCTCTGCTTCAACTGTGCCCACCGCATCCTCGTGTCACATTGTGCCACCAACGAGCCCGTGGAGTCCATCACCGCCTTCCAGTGCCCCACCTGCCGGCATGTCATCACCCTCAGCCAGCGAGGTCTAGACGGGCTCAAGCGCAACGTCACCCTGCAGAACATCATCGACAGGTTCCAGAAGGCATCAGTGAGCGGGCCCAATTCCCCCAGCGAGACCCGCCGGGAGCGGGCGTTTGACACCAACACCATGACCTCCACTGAGAAAGTTCTCTGCCAGTTCTGTGACCAGGAGCCTGCCCAGGACGCTGTGAAGACCTGTGTCACTTGCGAAGTGTCCTACTGTGACGAGTGCCTAAAAGCCACTCACCCAAATAAGAAGCCCTTTACAGGCCACCGTCTGATTGAGCCCATTCCAGACTCCCACATCCGGGGGCTGATGTGTCTGGAGCATGAGGAGGAGAAGGTGAATATGTACTGTGTGACCGACGACCAGTTAATCTGTGCCTTGTGTAAGCTGGTTGGGCGGCACCGCGATCATCAGGTGGCAGCTTTGAGTGAGCGCTATGACAAATTGAAGGTTAGTCTGATCCGCCTTAAGCCAACCCCTTTCTGCCAGCAAATGTCATGGGAATCAAAAGTGTATTCACTGCTAGCTACATGGCCGGTGAAGGGTTTCTCTTCACCTTTGTTATCTGCTGCGTTTTAGCATGTTTTTGGCAGCCTATAAATGTTACACAATAAGAGTATCTTGTAAAAGTTGACTGCTGCTTGTAATTTTAGCGTTGTCAAGGTGAGGGCGAAGTCTGAAAATCTGGATCTGTTTCAATCCTTGCTGCCTCTTACCGAGAGTGTGTGTGTGTGTGTGTGTGTGTGAGAGAGAGAATGAACAAGAAAGGATGACAGATAAAATCTAAAATCTGGCCTTGGACATTTGTTTTCCTCCCTCGTCAGGGAAAACTAATTTCCCTTGCATTGTACCTGTATCTAGTTACTGCACAAACAAAAGAACAGAGTGAAGAATATCTGTAGCAAATGTGGGGTTTTAGGAGACACGGGACCTTTTATCCAGTAAGGTTACAGGCAAGACTGTTTGAACTTCACTTTTAATGTGAAATTAATAATTAAGCTAACTCCAGCCTGGGGTATCATAATTAATAGGACTCTATGTCAAATAAAAAAACCACTCTCTAAATACGGATAGAATGTGCCAGGGAAGAACTAACAAGCCATGTCTCCAGCTGGCTGTTCAACCTCAGGCGACTGTGGGTGTAATTATTGAAAACTCAGCTGAGAGAGTTTGCCTCCGATAGCAAGAGACTATGTTCAGCAGCTAATTTTAGATCATGGGACACCAATTAAAAGGAAAGGAAGAATAAATTAAGAGTTTTAAGTAAATATACATTGAAGTCCTTCCTCTCAGGAAAAATACACACCATGTTGTTGCCCAAACAGTGTATCACTTGGACAAAAGAGTATTACCACTCAGAGATGATCGTCACCTTCCACAAATGGTTCCTATCACTTCTCCTTCACACTAATGGGGGGCTGTGTTTACTTGGGCCACTTTGTTTATTTTAGGATGTGGGATTAACGGAGCCCATCTGGGATTCGGCTTGGCTGTTCCATGATGTGCTGAGGGAAGTGGACGTGCTGGAAGCAAATCCCTGCTTCTGAGTGTCACTTGGGGAACAAAAGCAACACCTGGGCAGCACAGCTCACTGGAAGTGTACAAAGGGCGACAGGGGCAAATCCATCTGTAAACCAGGTAGAGAAGGTTAAACTCAAGGATCGAGGTGATACAGACAAGGAAAAACAGACACTGACCACTTTCGTAGTGTGGTACATGGCGGTAGTTCCAGACAGTAACACTAAAGTTTGTAATAACCAAGGTGATGCCTGGATGACTTGAGCCTCTAAAACAAAGTCTTCAGAAATCGGCATGGCTCTCAATTTTTAGAAACCAAGATAATCTTTGTTCTTTCTTCTTTTTTTTTTGAGTTGGGGAGTATATTTAGGATACTCGATGGAGGTGTTTGATTTTTGTTTTCCCAAAAACAAAAAATAAAAACCCATGCCAGATCATTCTTCTTTTTTTTTTTTTTCCTTATCAAAAATATTCCTTTGATTAGACTAACATTATTGCCTTTTAATGATTGTTTGTTAAAACACCATAATGAAGCTCAATATTCAACAACCGCCAGCCTTGCGATTTCAGTCTGAGAATCAAGTTCTGCTCATTACTTGTGCAATGTCACAATGGAGTTATTAATTATTTAAAGAGCATCCCCAAATTTATGGGAAGATCCTGTCACGCTCTAGCCCTTTTTGTGATGATAATGCAACTCTTTAATTAAGGCCTGCTCACTTGTCTAATCAAAGCTCTGGGTTAGCCGTCCCTGGCTCTGCCACAGGGAGGACCTGACAATTAACAGTATAGCATATTTTATTTTCTAATTACAGAAATTGAAGCATATAAACAGCACCCAGTACACCAACGCACTTTTACAGGCATTCAGCTAAATATGCTCATAAGCATTTATTTATAGCCATTCAACAACATATGCTTGTGAGCATTCGAACAATTAACATACTGGCAGAGTATGTTTATTCCAAAACACGCCATTTATGTCAGAATAAAAAAAATCACTAAAAATATATGATGCCCCGATCACATATTTGTGAACATATGGACTTCCCTGTTATGTTATTGTAATTCCTTGTTATTGTAACCTAAGTACAATATAAACATTGAGTTTTGAAGGAAGCAATAGCATACCAAGGAAATACATTTTTGTTAATTTTTACTTTGATCTAAAAAAAATGTGTTCTGTATGTGTATTTTTCTGAGGCTCTACCATCTTATGTCGACAGGGATTTGAGATGATGTGGGGTGCAAATAAAGCGTGGAGAAATTTGAGAGTGCTTTCATCAATAAGATGATAGATTTGTCTTAGTTTATTTGCATGTGTAAGGACCCAGGTGTCTCCTGTTTGAAAATGTCTTTGTCCTTCTGTTAGGAAAAGTCCATTATATGAAGAGGGGAATTCTACAATAATTTTGGAGAATAATAATAATTATATCTTGCAATAATACTAAGCTTTGGGAGACATTTTTACTCCTATTAGCTTTCGGCAGCATGGTGTTTATAAAAAGAATTGGGATACACTTTTTAGACGTTACTTTTTTTCTAAATACAAAAGAAAAAAATACATAAAAATGACAACATGTGGAATTCATGCCAATAAAATCGTCTACATGATCTGAAATGGCGTCTTGTCAGAAATCTAACACTTTCAGAGACTATGCATTGGGAAGCACTTATAAAATATTTGAAGCAAAGAGAAAACTGAGCTAGCAGTTCCTGAAAAATATTTAAACCAAAAAGAGAAAAGTTCTCCTGCCAAATGCAACAGTCTCTAAAGGTATCACAAAACAGGCCTTTTTTTTTTTTTTTTTAACATCATTTTAATTGAATTTTAAGAAGCTTCTCTCTCATTCTTCCAAATGTACATTAAAAGTTTGGTTTGTGAGCCACAGTGTTGTTGTTGTTAGGTGCCGTTGAGTCAGTTCCGACTCATAGCGACTCTGTGTACAACAGAACGAAACACTGCCCAGTCCTACACCATTGTCACAATCATTGTTATGCTTGAGCCCATTGTTGCAGCCACCTTGTCAATCCATCTCATTGAGGGTCTTCCTCTTTTTCGCTGACCCTCTACTTTACCAAGCATGATGTCCTTCCCCAGGGACTGAGCCCTCCTGTTAACACGTCCAAAGTATGTAAGACGTAGTCTCGCCATCCTTGCTTCTAAGGAGCATTCTGGCTGTACTTCTTCCAAGACAGATTTGTTTGTTCTTCTGGCAGTCCATGGTATATTCAATATT